TTCGATCTTTTGGAAAATTAGACTGGTTTGTTGATCTATAAAGACTCTGGGTTGGGACTGTTCTCTGCTCAAATATTTGTCATTTCTGGTCGTTCTGATCAACTTTTGACAGTTTGACGGTTGCGTTCATCAAGTTCGTTTGCATTTAACCTCTCCTGTTTATACAAGTTTTTATTAAAATTATGATTCTAATATGTATGAAGAAGCTAATTTGCTTCGAAGCTTTTATTAGGGAAACGAATGTGAAAACATGCAGTTTTTTTGTACTTTTTTACTTTTTTTTCTTGACAAAAAGTTTATATTATGCTTATCAAAGAAGATGATAAATTTTTAGGTTTTCCATTGAGGTAATGACTTTTGTTACTGAATTAATTCAGGTTGCAAACAAGTTTTATACTACTATATTGATTATGCATCATTTTCTAATTAATTCAGTTAATTCAACCCAACTTGGTTGCTGGACAAAATAGGCAAAGTAGTTTGGTTGATTACATTGAAGAAGGAAGAGGTTGTTGCACAGATGAGAGATGGCAAAGCGGAAAGTTGAATAAAACAAAGTCAATTTGATTACGCTCTTTGAGATGCTTATGTCAGATGCTCATTATAAGATATAATTTTTGTTAGCAGTCTCTCAAACAATTATCGTCGATGAACGTCGCAAAAACTCTTCGTGATTGCTTCAGAAGTCAAGTGGTACATGCAATTTCATGACTTAACGATAAATAGCTCACTGCGTTAGCAATTCTTGCTTGATTATTTGACCGTCAATCGTTGCTTGGTTGTAGACATCAGTACAACGGAAAAATTTCTGCAGTTTAGTTGAACTGTCTTGGCTCTCTAAGCGCCAGGAACTAAGGAGAAGTTTTGAAACGAATGGGCATCTGTTAGAACCACTAATTATTTGATAGCAATGTACCTGAGGCGACTTGGAGGCGTACTTCATAAACATCAAAGTTGTTCAGTTTGTTAGATCGGCGAAGGCTTTTGTTACAGTCTAGTTATATCTCTATAACAAAAAAGGTGGTCTTTTTTGGAAGGCTGGATATTGTTCTACTACTGAATCATTTGGATGAGCTCCTGCAACATCGATATAGGTGGTTTTTTTTCTTCCAGTGGTCAGTGTCTGCATTATTCCTCTAGTCGACTTCTTTTAATTGGCTCAGTTTACTGGGGTGGGAAGTTTGTAGTTAAAAAGACTAGCATACGCACTCACTAAAATTCTTTTCTTAATGCACATTAAGGCTTATTTGCATGCCGCTTTTTTTTTTTTTTATTTTTTTGTGAATAATTCATCATTGTGCTGGTATTACTTCATTTACTTATCTTACATATTTTTGTTGTTGTTTTTTTTTTTCCTCTTCTCTTTAAACACTTCAGTTCTTTTGGTTTGAAAAAAAATATCAGCTTATTCTGTTTAGACGCGTTGTTTTACCACATTCTGAATTTTTAAAATTTTTGCTTTTATATTTCAAGAAAAAAAAATTTTTTTTTTGATTAGAACAATAAAGCTGGAAAAATCAATGAAAAAATATTTTTTTAAGATAATTCAATGAAGATGTGATGCTGCTGATGAGAATAAGTGTTTCAAAAAGGTTACTTTCTGGTTTAGTGATAAAAGTCTGCTTGAGTTTAGCGCTAATTTTTCGCTGCCCTTTTACTATTCAATTTCAACAAAATTTTTGAATATTTGAAAGTTCTATTTAATTATTTTGCGGCGACTCTTCAAGATCGAAAATCACTGGACATTCAAAAGTTCTATTATTTTAAAGCACTTCTAAGCTATTTTGCGCTGTTTGTTGAACAAATTTTTTCTATTGAAAGAGCTTTTCTTTTGCTGGGTCTGCCTGTTGGATGCTGGTTTTGAGTCTGACCCCAGCGTCGGCTATGTTTTTTTTGGATGGTTGCTCAAACCTAGCAACTATCATGATGATAACACTGGAGAAGTTTGTAAAAAACATGACTAATCTGATTTGAGCTTCTCTTTTACTTCTTTCTAGAACTTTTGATTTTACGTGACAATAAATTGCCAATTTTTATCTTACTCAAATCAATCTGATGTTTATTTCAGTGCTTGCGTAATCAGGCATTTCCTCCTCAAATTAGTCAAATCACTCGTCTTTTGAGTCATTTCGGGCTAGTCGAGGTTTTTGTCAGAGTCATCTTGGACACAGAATGGCATGGGGAAGCTGGTTGAAATGCTAATGGGTTGACTCGTTCTGTTTGTTTTTTACCCTTCATAGGACAAGTGTTTTTTTCACTTTGTTTTCGCTTTCGATGAAACTTAAAGTTTTAGGGAGCTATGAGATCTAAGCCCTATTAGGTTTTATTCGGAATCCAAGGGAGTTGCTCGTAACAGATGCTAAGAATATTTAAATTTTCTGTTTAACTTTAGATAAAAGAAGTTACTTTCTTCCATACTGTTATTGATATTAACACCGTTGTAAGGAACTACAATGTGGTTTAATTTTTTCTAAAATTTTTTTGTTTTTTATGGCAAGAATTGTTCTTACCGTTCTCATTATTCTTAAATGTCTTCAAATAATTGAACTAAATTTTAAATTTTAATTTTTGGAGTGGAGATGCCAACTAAATTTGATAGTGTGTAGTTCTTTAAGCAAAATGAAAGGGGTTTCTGTGAGTAGCCAGCATTTACTGTTTCTGTAAAAGTAACACTGATCATGCTAGGCAGGTTTTTTCGGCTAGTTTCAACTGCAGTCTACGGTCTCAGGTGCTTGACAATTGGTTCCTCTGTTCCTAGGTCTTTCATTAACGTCTAATTGAAGTTCTTCAGTTATACTTGAAGGACCCCTTTTTTTCTTCTCTGTTTAACTGATTTAATCATTGGCCGTAGGTATTTCTCTCAAGCTGCAACAATCTTGTTTAAGTAGGTAGGACGTTTGTGAAAGTAAATTAGATTGATCCTTAAGCTTGACAAAAACTGAATATGGTTAGTTTATTAGGTAGGTTCATGAACATCTGCCGCGATTTACAACTTTTACTTTTGGACTTTTCTAATCCAAAGATATGTCTAAAAAAGTCTGGCTTGTAGAAACACTGATTAAAAGCTCATTATCTGCTCTTCCTTCTCGTTACACATCTGTTTTATTTTTTCTTTTAATTTTCTTTTTAAATATTTTTTATTTAGGGTGCAAAGCGCGATTTTCTAGCGATTTCTCTTTGCTTATGGAAAAAGGAAATAATGCTGGTGCTACCAGCCGAGAAACCAGCGCAGTATTTGAGAAGTCCTCTTTAAAAGGCAGGACTGTACGTCTATGGTTCCTGAAGTTTGCGAAGTGTGATAACACGTTGAAGTAAACAGCAATCCGGTAAAACTGCCTCACGTTGGCAACCAAAAGTTAAAGGCAGTTACTGAGTCTAACTTGGAAAGACTGCTCATCACACGTCTTCAGATGTTTGGTTTTCATGTCAAACAGTCAGTCAGCATTTGCGTACAGTAATAAAAAAGAAGTCTCGGACAATGAATACGTCATGAGGTTATCAAATCGCAGTAAATGGAACCGTGCCCAACACTGTGAGACTGTTCTTCAGCGGTTCAAAACTAATTCTTTTTTGGACCGGTTTCTTAGTTGTTATGAATAATGAGTGTTGTACGATTACTGGAAAAGAGCTGAACAGTGGGTAGATGTGGATCAATCTTCTAACCAAGTGGAAAGACCTGATCTTCATCAGCCTAAGGTAATGATCATGGTTTGCTGGGGGTATTTGTGAAGTAATTCATAAGGGTCTTCTGAATGATGATGGGGGTATTACTGCAGAGAAGTGGTGTTCAAAATTGGAGGATATGAATCAAAATTTTAAGGAACTGCGCTTGAGACTTGTGGAGAGGAGAAGTGCAACAGGATAACATTAGACCGCATGTTTCAAATGATAAGAGAAAAAATCTTAAATCTATATTACTCTTCAGGTCTTTCCTCTAATAATAATCATTTCCTTTATGGAAACTTGGAATTATTTGTCTATAGAAAAAAATGAGTGGCTCAGAGCGTATCAAAATTGTCATAAAAGATTTTTTGACCTCGAGATTTCTGCACTCAACTTAGCGGAATGTCAAGGCTGTTAACAAGTTGGCAGTTTTGTGCTGATTCTTCTGGTTAATATTTTGATGAGTAGTCTTGGATCAGAGCTAGTTATGACCTGTTAAAGGAAAAGATAAAAATCGTCGGCAGATGTTTTTTTGGATCTACCTAACTCGTAAGGATGTGTGAATAATTTGACTCATTCGAATTTTCTATACTTTATTCTCCATTTTATTTGTTTATTTGCTGTTGTTTCTATTATTTTTTACTATTTTTGATCTTGTTGTTGCTGCTGCTGTTCTTCATAAAAACAATGCGGGAATTGAAGTTTGCTGAAAAGCAACTAAGATATAAGTGGGTTCTCTTTTTTTTCAAATGCTAGATGATAAAAAAATATTTTTCTCTTCTCATATTTGCCTTGGTGGTTTTGAAGATTGAAGTTTCTGAACTGTTCTCAAAAAGATACTTATCCTAATTGAAATACTAGTTTGCACTACATTTTCATTCTGTTCAGTGCAGTGTCTTTTGCAAACTACTGTTTCAAAGAAATCTTTTTTTTTAGTCTTCAAAAAATTTAGTAATTTCTTAAAAGGAGAAGAAAAGGAATTTTTTTTCATTTGGCAAACAGATTTGCATATGAAATTAATGTGATTCCGCGAAACGTTTTATCACTTTCACAAAAAAAGAAAGAAAAAAAAACTTCTAATCAAATGAACAATACACAGTTTCTGCGACTGATAACGATCGAACTGTCGAGTCAGAACGAATCGGTTGAACAGCCACTCAGTCAGTCGTTCGTTTTTTGCTTATTTGGCTGTTCGACAAGCGTTGTTTGTTCAAAATTTCGTTTTCATTCTTGCTTTTTTCTTTCCTTTTTTTTTTCTAGTACACCAACTGTTGTTGTTTTTGTCGTTATAGATGAATGATACTGACGACAGATAGGCATGTGAACTATAGATGTCAATGTGCAGACCGCTGCCTGACTCTACGTCGTTTGCCAGCAATCTTGACAACCGGTTTCTTCGAGGAGAAAAAGTGTACAAATTTGATAATGTTAGTCTTAATCGTTTACCAAACTTACTAAATGAGGTTAGAAATCTGCAGGTACTCCCTAAACTTAGGCAAGATGCAATGAACAATGTCTACATTTGTTGTAGGTAATTTGGTCAAATGCTTTTGTAAACTTGACTTTTCCTATCATATATTGACATTCAGAACCATCTTGGTTTCTAATACATCGCAAGTAGTTGCTGTGCTTCTGTGGTTGCATAAACAGATGAAGTACTGTAAGGAACGGAAACAAGGATAAAAGGGCGCCTTAAAGTCCATGAAGCCGGGACGGTCTATCGCGTAATTTAAACATTTCGCTAGCATTAAGGCGATGTTGCCTCTCTTCGGCTTGTTAATTTAATTTTGTCTTCTGCTCATTCGTGCTGCCGACTGCAGATTTGCCCTTTAAGTTTGTTTTTTTAATTAGTTTAGTTATACAAAGAAGTAGTGCTGTTCAGGAAATGGAGACATTCATAGAAACATGTAACAGTGTAGTTTTTTTCCAAATGGCCATTAAAAATGAATGTGCAGTTCTGTCGTTCACGGTTAGGGCAAACGAATCATGATTTCTAGAATAATCGAAACGCAAACATTCACGAGCATCGGATAATTTTAGCTGTACAAGATCCTTCCCTATCGGGAGGAATCTTTTTTGACTTTCTGTCGTCGAGGTTTATTACAAAATTCTGGAACATTTTCATCATTTTTCAGTGCGCTTCTAATCCCACTTCTTGTTTCCTTTCCATCTGTTATCAACACCGATAGCCATCAGCAGTGTTGAAAAAGTTGCTTGGCAATTGTTGTTAGTGAATCTTTGAAAATTCGCGTTTACATCTTACTTCTGCTTCGCTATTAGGGACGGGTATCTCGGACTTCTTTCGGATTCCGATGTTTTGCGGCAGCCAAGAAGAAGACTCATTGATATTTACTATCTTTATCAACTTTATTTTTCTTCTTTTTCTGTATCATTGT